CTAATGGTGCAGAAATTAATGCACATGACTTCACTTGAGCTGCCATGGCTCAATGTTATGGACTCCTGGATGTTGTAGTTAGCACTCTCTGGCAGAGAAGGCCAAAGGCCTTGCAAAACTACAACTCTCAGGAGGCCACAGTATTGAGCCATGGTAGTTCAAGTGCAGTCAAGCTGCATTAATTCAACTCTACCTTTAGACACATTGTGGTCAACAACAAGCAAAATGCCTCCCATGTCTCTTAAAATGCTTCGAGCTTCAAACCACAACACTGTTTCAAATTTAGCAAACAGAATTAGAATGTGTTGTCGAAGGCAGATAGAGGTAAATAACAAGAATGTAGTAGATCTCGAGGATGAATATATCATAGGGGTCAAAACATATATATGTAGTTGAAGGCTTTCATGGCTGAAATCACTGGGTTGCTGTGAGTTTTCCAGGTAGTTTGGCCATATTCCAGAAGCATTCTTTCCTGATGTTTACCCCATATCTATGGCAGGCACCCTCAGAGGTTGTGAGGTTTGTTGGAAACTAGGCAAGTGGGGTTTATATTTTCTATTATGCTAGTTTGCTTTGTTTGCTTTATTTTGCCACTGTATGTACTTTATTGTGATATAATTTTTGTTGTTGCATTTTCCACTTTATTTTGCTGTCTTTGGGCTTGGCCTCATGTTAGCCGCCCCGAGTCTCTTTCGGGGAGATGGTGGCGAGGTAAATAAAGATTAATAATAATAATAATAATAATAATATTTTACTGACACAAAAGCACAGTATGTCACAGCAAATGAGATCTATATGCTGGATTTCGTATCACAAAATCGCAAGTCGAACACTTCCCAAGCGTCTAGGACTGTGTGATGTATTTTCGAATGATGATGCAGATCCAAGTAAGGTGGCCTTTTACAGTTGACAGATCGTGATTTTGTCGATGTTTATTGTTTCCAAATGCCGGCTGAGATCTTTTGGAACGGCACCCAGTGCGCCAATGACCAGTGGGACCACCTGTACTGGTTTATGCCAGAGTTTTTGAAGTTCGATTTTGAGGTATTGATAGCATATTATTATTATTATTATTATTATTATTATTATTATTATTATTATGGAATGGCCAGACTGGAAGCAGCCAGGCATTGAAGCTGAAAGGCAATTCAATGCTAATGAAGCTGGCCAATTGCAGCACTTGCCTCAAGCAGACAAAACTTCTTTCTCCAACCCTAGACATTATTCCACAGATATATAAACCTCCCTTGTCTAGTTTTCCAACAGACCTCACAACCTCTGAGGATGCCTGCCATAGATGTGGGTGAAACATCAGGAGAGAATGCTTCTGGAACACGGCCAGACAGACCGGAAAACTCACAGCAATCCAGCATTAGAATGCATCAAGTAAAGAAGTAAATAAGAGAAGAAAAACTCTCAGAAAAAAAGAGTGAAATCAATACATCTGAAATAACATAGGAGCCATGTGAAGCAAGGCGGAACAGCGTTGGTTTTTGTGGTTGGAATTTATTCTGGGAGTTGGGATCCACGACCGAGAAGGCCCTGCCTTGTCTGCCCACCAAACTGGATTTTCCTGGTGAGGAGGAAGTATTTAAAGGTTTCCGGGACCTCATATCCAGAAAGGGCAGGTTCATAAGGGAGGAGGCCATTGCTCTAATCATAACTATATTTTCAACACCTTGAATACTGCCTGAAACATACCAGGAGCCTGCATCCTTCGCCTAAAACGGGTCATGATCAACACAAACGTAGGAAGCAAAGGATGGATGTGTAAATATTGGGCTAAGTATCTCTCACTGCTTTCCAAGGGAAAGGTATACATATTTACCAATCTCTCCTAAATATGCGAAACGTACCGGATCCCATCTGACCTAAGGAGGGTGAACATTGGTTGGTACGTGGAAGGGAGGTCACCAGTGAACACCTGGTGCTGTCTGCTATGTATCAGAAGAAAGTATTGGCAAAAGCACCACCAAGCATTCCTTTCTTAAGAACTGAACTGAATAATTGATTATGATCAACAGATCAGACAACCTTTCTTAAGAAAACCCTATTCATTCATTATTTATAATGTTTTGACTGTATTTTATTTTGTGGGGCATTGAATGCCAACTGTGAACTGTCTCGAGTTGCCTCCAGGCTGAGAGGGGCAGTATACAAATATAGTAAATAAATACATAATAAATATTCAATCACCAAGTCAACACTTGACTTGAAGTCAAGCACACCCAAACACACATTTTTCTCCTGTTTCATGCACCATTGCACCATCGGTTCAAATCTGTAAAGCCAAAAATTTTGTTTTCCCTTCCACGGAAAAATTGCCCAACTTCAAAACAAATGGTTTGGGATTTTCAGGAAATAAATGTAGCCTCATCTACATATAAAATGCAGATTATCTGCTTTGAACTGGATTATATGGCAGTGTAGACTCGGATAATCCAAAGCAGATAATGTGGATTATCTGCTTTGATAATCTGGGTAATATGGCAGTGTAGAAGGGGCATGTTTCTCCAAGTCCTATCTTAGAGGTAAAGAAGGCAGGCTGTAAAGGGATAAAGAGGATGACCATCTGTCAGGAGTGCTTTGATGGTGTGTTCCTGCCTAGCAAAGGGTTGGACTGGATGGCTCTTGGAGTTTCTTTCAATTCTATGATTCTATAGCTTTATGAGGATTGTAATTCCATTCTTGCTGATCTTTGCATGCTTATGTCAAGTATGAAGATGCACACAGATAGAATTTGGAGAGGGGAGTTGTAATGCCTTTCTACCAAAAAAGAGAATTCTTCCATGTTCTCTGCATACCTCTCAAAATGTATGGAGAATATGTGTGACCAGAGGAAGCAAAATGTTCTACAACAGAGATTGGAAAATATAATTTTGTGACATGATTATTGACCAACTCTGAAAATACTAGTCCCTTTTTCTACCCCTGATCTGACTACCTTTTCTCAATACTTGCTGAGCAATAACATAAATTAAAATGGCATTGAAAAGGACATCTGGATGTCGCTGACTTAGTGAATGGATGGTAGGTTCAGTCCACTTTTCCATGGAAAAAGAAAAACAATGGGATCAGAGCCACTGGGGAAACTAGAACTGGTAGATGTGAGTGTCATTAAGTTTTCCAACATGTGTCCAAATACAGTGTAACCTCTGTATCTGCTGAAGTTTGATTCCAGGACTCTCTGTAGATACCAAAATCCATGGATGCTCAGGTGTCATTATTTACAATGCCATAGGAAAATGGTGTCCCTTAAATAGCAAAATCACATTGTCTTTTTGGAATTTTGAAAAAAATATTTTCAAGTCATGGAAGATTGAATTTGTGGATCCCAAATCGGTGGATATGGAAGTCTGGCTTTACTAAAGGCCCTTCCACACAGGCATATTGCCCAAAATATCAAGGCAATATAACCCACACAGGCATATAACCCAAAGTATCTGCTTTGAATTGAGTTATCTGAGTCCATACTACCATATATTCCAATTCAAAACAGATATTGTAGGTTATGTGCCTCGATATTCTGGTTATATGGCGGTGTGGAAGGGCCTTAAGAGAGGCCAGTCGATTGGGATTTGGATGGGAGAGAAAACCAAAGAAGTCCAAACCACACTCAATTTCACCTGATTTGGGGAAGCTAAGTACGTAGATGGAAGGCAACCATCTCTCTCTAGATGGACCTAGGAAAGAATCTTGCTTAGACACCCTAAAGAGAGCCAGTGCTGCCTATATGGATTGACAATACCCTACTAAGTATATCGGATTTAATAAAGGAAACCTTCCTAGGAATGCTGTACCACATTTTCTGAAATGCCTTGAATCTTGTTTGTTTTTGGGAAGCTGAACAGATTTATGTATGGTGAGTTCTTGGATGGAGGACCATCAAGGAAGACCATAGACCTCCAGGTTCATGAAGGGGAAATAAAGAAGCCCTGAAACTCTGATCTGCCAGTTTGAGTTGACCACATTGAGTTAGATCAGTGTTTCTCAACCTGGGTGTCAGGACCCCTGGAGGGGTCGCGAGGGAGTGTCAGAGGGGTTGCCAAAGACCATCAGAAAACATAGTATTTTCTGTTGGTCATGGAGGTTTTGTGTGGGAAGTTTGGCCCGATTCTATCGTTGGTGGGGTTCAGAATGCTCTTTGATTGTTGGTGAACTATAAATCTCAGTAACTACAACTCCCAAATGTCAAGGTTTATTTCCCTCAAACTCCTTCTGTGTTCATATTTGGGCATATGGAATATTTGTGCCAAGTTTGGTCCAGATCCATCATTGTTTGAGTCCACAGTGCTCTCTGGATGTAGGTGAATTACAACTCCAAAACTCAAAGTCAATGCCCAACAAACCCTTCCAGTATTTTCTGTTGGTCATGGGAGTTCTGTGTGTCAAGTTTGGTTCAGTTCCATTGTTGCTGGAGTTCAGAATGCTCTTTGATTGTAGGTGAATTGTAAATCCCAGCAACTACAACTCCCAAATGACAAAATCATTCTCCCACTACCCCATCAGTATTCAAATGTGGGCATATCAGGTCTTTGTGCCCAATTGGGTCCAGTGAATGAAAATACATCCTGCATATCAGATATTTACATTATGATTCACAACAGTAGAACATTTTTACTCATGGAAGTAGAAACAAAAATAATGTTATGGTTGGGGGTCACCACAACATGAGGAACTGTATTAAGGGGTTGCGGCATTAGGAAGGCTGAGAAACACTGAGTTAGATGGCCCGACTCTATCTAAAGTGGGTTTCCACTTAGAGAAGACTGCAGATTTCATTCCTTAGGGGTAGGACTAAGAAAGCAACCTTGCCTTGAAATTGGTCGGAGTTCACAACATTGGACTAGATGGAGCAAAACTCTGACTCCACAATAGCAACTTCCTAAATCCTACACCTATTGAGAAGAAAGTTAAATACAGTTGTAAAGAAAACCATCACAAAAGCATATTCTTGGGGAGGAAAATAATGAAAAGAGGAAGAAACTGATGCTCCTTACCTGTTGGGAAGAAGACGCAGAGAGACACAAAGAAGGTTTGGATCAGTCCCAGGGCTTTGGCTCTTGCCCCTTTCCCCATACCCATCCATCCAGCTTCAGCTCTAACCACTAGCCTCTCCCTATAAGAAGAGTGTCGGCAAAAAGGGGGGAAAGGAAAGAGGGGAAAGGAGGAGAGAGAGAGAGAAAGAGAGAACAAAAAGGTAAGAGGAATGGGGAAAGGAAAGGTATCAGTTTCCAGGCTGGGAGAGAAAATCCAGAGGAGGAGGAGGCAAGGAAAAAGGGAAGCAAATAACCCAGGCTGGAGGAGACTTCGGAGTGGGTCCACCCCAGAAATGCCTCCCACTCCAGAAAACACACAGACACACACACACAGAGAAGTCTGTGCCTCTGAGAAAACAGCCCAAGGCGCCAAAGGGGTCCCTCCGCCTTCTCCAAACGCTTTCCTCCCTGGCACTGCCTTCGCCTTCTCTCCTCGGGTTGCAAAGCAACGTCAAGGAGGAGGAGCAGAAAGAGGAGGGAAGAAGGGAAGGAAGGAGGGAAGAAAGGAGGAGGAGGTGGAGGGAAGGATGGATTGCAGCTGGAAGCTAGGCACCAGGGAGACAGAGAGAAAGGAGAGGGAGCTAGGAGCTCGCCAACGAATTGGAGACAGAAATCCACTTTTACGCACAGAGCAAAGGCGCAATTGGGTGCCACTGGGGAAGAAGGAAAGTTGGACTTTGGGGAGCTTCAACTTCTTAAACATTCCAGGGAAGGGCCCCCTCCCATCCCCCAACAGTGTTTCTCAACCTGGGGGTCGGGGCCCCTGGGGGGGGTCGTGAGGGGGTGTCAGAGGGGTCGCTAAAGACCATCAGAAAACGCAGTATTTTCTGTTAAGGTAAAGGTAAAGGTAGTCCCCTGACATTAAGTCCAGTCATGTCTGACTCTGGGGTGTGGTGCTCATCTCCATTTCTAAGCCGAAGAGCCAGCGTTGTCCGTAGACACCTCCAAGGTCATGTGGCCGGCATGACTGCATGGAGTGATGTTACTTTCCCGCCGGAGCGGTACCTATTGGTCTACTCACATTTGCATGTTTTCAAACTGCTAGGTTGGCAGAAGCTAGGGCTGACAGCGGACGCTCACGCCGCTCCCCGGAATCGAACCTGCGACCTTTCGATCAACAAGCTCAGCAGCTCAGTGCTTTAACCCACTGCGCCACCGGGGGCAGTTAGTCATGGGGATTTTGTGTGGCAAGTTTGGCCCAATTCTATCATTGGTGGGGTTCAGAATGCTCTTTGATTGTAAATGAACTATAAATCCCAACAACTACAACTCCCAAATGTCAAGGTCTCTTTCCCCCCATTTTTTGTCGTGTCAGGAGAGACTTGAGAATCTGCAAGTCACTTCTGTTGTGAGAGAATTGGCCATCTGCAAGGACGTCTTTTCCCTTAACTCCCCAAGTATTCACATTTGGACATATTGAGTATTTGTGCCAAGTTTGGTCCATATCCATCATTGTTTGAGTCCACAGTGCTCTCTGGATGTAGGTGAACTACAGCTCCAAAACTCAAGGACTTAGCAAACCCTTCCAGTATTTTCTGTTGGTCATGGAAGTTCTGTGTGCCAAGTTTGGTTTAATTCCATTGTTGGTAGAGTTCAGAATGCTCTTTGATTGAACTATAAATCCAAGAAACTACAACTCCCAAATGACAAAATCAACCCCCCCCCCCCCCAACCTCAGCAGTATTTAAATTTGGGTGTATGGGGTATTTGTTCCAAATTTGGTTCAGTGAATGGAAATACATCCTGCATATTGGATATTTACAGTTCATAACAGTAGCAAAATTACAGTTATGAAGTAGCAACTAAAATAATTTTATGATTGGGGGGTCACCACAACATGAGGAACTGTATTGAGGGGTCACGGCATTAGGAAGGTTGAGTACCACTGACATAGACCAATATGGAAAGCACCTTAGCAAGAAAAGAAAAGAAAAACAACCAGGATGTCCAAAGCCCTGGGATGTCTCCAAATCTGGACCCAGCAATATTATTTTTCAAAATGAAGACAACTAAAGGAGCATCAATCCTATGAAATAAGTGCAGTGTTTCACTGCCCTGTCTCAAGGTGATTGAATTGCTGTGTTTTGACACTGTACCACTATAGTTTGGAAACATATTTCTCCTTCTCTGCCAAACAGAGCCAGTTTCACCCAACTGCAACACCCATGATTTCATAGCATGGGGCCATAGCAGTGAAAGAAGCGTCACATTGCATCCATTCTGCAGCTTAGGCCCCTTCCACACAGCTGGATAAAATCCCACATTATCTGCTTTGAACTGGGTTAGATGTCAGCATGGACTCAGATAACCTGGTTCAAAGATATTGTGGGATTTTCTGCCTTGATATTCTGGGTTATATGGCTGTGTGGAAGGGCCCGTAGACACTTGGAAAATGGACTGGCCTAACAAACAGTCAACAAGGACTTTTTGAAACTTAAAAGACCTTTTGAAATCAGGACAATAATGAAAGAGGAACACTGTGAAAACAGGGGAATTCCAGACAAGAAACAATCAGGGCCAGCTAACACCTCCCAACAAAGAATTCCCTCAGGCAGGAAGCAGCCAGACTTTGATGCTGCAAGGTCATTCAATGCTAATCATAGAATCATAGAGTTGGAAGAGATCTCATGGGACATCCAGTCCAATCCCATTCTGCCAAGAAGCAGGAAACTTGCATTCAAAGCACCCCCAACAGATGGCCATCCAGCCTCTGTTTAAAAGCTTCCAAAGAAGGAGCCTCCACCACACTCTGAGGCAGTGAGTTCCACTGCTGAATGGCTCTCACAGTCAGGAAGTTCTTCCTCGTGTTCAGATGGAACCTCCTTTCTTGTAGTTTGAAGCCATAGTTCCGCGTCTCCAGGGCACCAGAATACAAGTTCTCTCCCTCCTCCCTATGATTTGGGCTATGATAAAGAGCTGGGCTAAATATTCCCAGCTCTTTAAGCCGCTCCTCATAGGGCTTGTTCTCCAGACCCCTGATCATTTTACTCGCCCTCCTCTGGACACATTCCAAGGTGGACACATAATCAAGGTGGCCAATTGCAATATTCACACTTGCCTCGAACAGACAAGCATTCATTTTCCCACCCTGGACATCATTCCACAGATATATGTATAAACTCCACTGGCCCAGTTTCCAACAGACCTCACAACCTCTGAGGATGCCTGCTATAGATGTGGGTGAAACTTCAGGAGAGAATGCTTCTGGAACATAGCCAGACAGCCCAAAAAAACTCACAGCAACTCAGAGACTAAATCATTTGTAAAGTGACACCTTCCATAATTCCATAGCATTGAGGCAGGCCAGTCAAAGTGATGCCAAACTGCATTAATTCCTCAATGTGGACGTCCCCTTCCCATTGATAGGGGGTGCCAAAACTGAGCTAAAATTAGCCAGGAGAGGCATGGTTGCCACCCAAGCCGAAGAACGTTGACTCCTGCAAACGAACATGCCATGGGCTGGAGATATTTGTGACCGAACAAAGCCCCTCTTGTGCACATGCTGGGACAGATGGCATTTCCTTCTTCTGTGGGAGTCGAGAAACCTCGTTGCAAAACCCCCGAGATATAAACTTCACATATGGCCGGGCTTATTCTAAACTGTTCGTCAGAAGCTTGGCTGAAATCCCCTCTCTGTATATTTTCTTCTCTGCAGGAAAGAGTCGCCTCCCTGCCTTTCCCTCAGAGCCATTCCCAAACAACGTTTCCCCCAGATGCAGAGTTTCCACATTTCAGCTATCTTCTCATAAACACCTGGGCAGAATTGTCTCCAAAAAGGGAGGCTAAGAAGAACTGCAACTAGGCAGTGTGGCGTCAAAGGTTTTGAGTGCTGGGATAGGAATCAGGGAGGACAGGGTTCAAATTCCTGTTCAGTTGTGGCCTCAGGCAAGTCACACTCTCTCATCCTAAGAGGAAGGCAATGGCAAACTCCCTATGGCTACATCTTTCCAACTAAAGCTCAACACAGGATCATCTTCATGGGGTTGCCGTAGGTTGATAGGTGATGCAGAGCCATCTATTCTACTGACTAAACTGCAGGACAGAATTACCATGTTACTATTGTGGTTAGTTGACCGTTAGGTGATCCCTTGTAACCCAAGAATGATGGTCCTCTAAGTGCAGTGTCTTGGCAGTGTGTCCGTAGGTGACTGTGGAGCCTTATTCTTGATCCACATGTTCTCCCGCAGTGAGGATGCTGGTTTCCAGGTGGAATGCGGTCCCGGTCAGGGTTGGCTTGACACACTTTCCTTTTGGCACATTTCTCTCTCTCGCCCTCCATTTGTGCCTCTTCAAATTCCGCAGCACTGCTGGTCACAGCTGAACTCCAGTAAGAGCACTCAAGGACCAGGGCTTCCCAGTTCTGTTAGATGATCCCTCGTATCCCGAGGATGATGGTCCTCCAAATGCAGTGTCTCGGCCGTGGGTCCGTAGGTGAACTGTGGAGCCTTATTCTTGATCCGCATGTTCTCCCGCAGTGAGGACATTGGTTTCCAGGTTGAAAGTGGTCTAGTCAGGGTTGACTTGACGCACCTTCCTCTTGACACATTTCTCCCTCTCGCCCTCCATTTGTGCCTCTTCAAATTCCGCAGCACTGCTGGTCACAGCTGACTTCCAGTTAGAGCACCCAAGGGCCAGGGTTTCTCAGTTCTCGGTGTCTATGCCACAGTTTTTAAGTTTGACTTTAAGTCCATATTTAAATCTCTTTTCCTGTCCACTAACATTATGTTTCCTGTTCTTGAGTTGGGAGTAGACTAACTCTTTTGGGAGACAGTGATAGAGCATTTGGGCAATGTGGCATTCAGTCCAGTGGAGTTGATGGGGTAGGAGCACCGTTTCAGTGCTGCTGGTCTTTGCTTGGAGGGAGCAAGCTTGTTTTCTGCTGCCCTGGAGACTAGGACCTGGAACAACGGCTTCAAACTACAAGAAAGGAGATTCCATCTGAACATGAGGAAGAACTTCCTGACTGTGAGTGTCGTTCAGCAGTGGAACTCTCTGCCTCGGAGTGTGGTGGAGGCTCCTTCTTTGGAAGCTTTTAAACAGAGGCTGGATGGCCATCTGTCAGGGGTGCTTTGAATGTAGT